TTGTGGTTGTGTAGTTGTGGTTGTGGCATTGCGTGTTGTGGTTGTTGGTATGTAGTTGTTGTGTTGCGTTGGTTGTGGTTGTAGTTGTGTCGTGGTTGGTTTGTGTGTAGTATGTGGTATGTAGTGTGGTATGTAGTGTGTGGTGGGGTTGTGTGTGTATTATAGTTGTTGCGTTTGTTGGTAGTGTAGTTGTGGTTGTTTCGTGCTAACACTCTGGAACACGATACATCGTGACCCAGGCAGGCGACGGCTGCCTGGCCCAGGACGACGACCCGGGACTGAGGACCCATGATGTCGTCTTCACGTTCGGTTCAACAGCCACCCGCTCTGCGTCTGCACCCCGCTTATATACCCTGCCCAGGCACGCCCCTTTCACAGGCCACGCCCCTTTCACTGCCACGCCCCCTGCCAGCCACGCCCCCTTCACAGCAACGCCCCTTCACAGGCCCGCCCCTTTCACAGGCCCGCCTCCCTATCCAGGCCACGCCCCCTTCACAGGCCACGCCTCCTTCATAGGCCACCCCCCTTCACAGGCCACGCCTCCCTTCACAGGCCACGCCTCCCTTCACAGGCCACGCCCCCCTCACAGGCCACGCCCCTTCACAGGCCACGCCCCCTTCCCAGGCCCGCCTCCCTGCCCAGGCCACGCCCCCTTCCCAGGCCACGCCCCCTTCCCAGGCCACTCCCTGCCCAGGCCACGCCTCCCTGCCCAGGCCACGCCCCCTGCACAGGCCACGCCCCCTTCACACAGCCCACCCCCCCTGCCCATGGCCACGCCTCCCTTCACGGCCACGCCCCCTTCCCAGGCCACGCCCCCTGCCCCCACCCCCCTTCACAGGCCACGCCTCCCTGCCCAGGCCACGCCCCCTTCACAGGCCACGCCTCCCTGCCCAGGCCACGCCCCCTCCCAGGCCACGCCCCCTTCACAGGCCACGCCCCTTCCCAGGCCACGCCTCCCTGCCCAGGCCACGCCTCCCTGCCAGCCACGCCCCCTTCCCAGGCCACGCCCCCTTCCCAGGCCACGCCTCCCTGCCAGCCACGCCTCCCTGCCCAGGCCACGCCTCCCTGCCAGGCCACGCCCCTGCACAGGCCACGCCCCCTTCACATGCACGCCCCCTGCCCAGACCACGCCTCCCTTCACAGGCCACGCCCCCTTCCCAGGCCACGCCCCCTGCCCAGGCCACGCCCCCTTCACAGGCCACGCCTCCCTGCCCAGGCCACGCCCCCTTCACAGGCCACGCCTCCCTGCCCAGGGCCACGCCCCCTTCCCGGCGCCCCTTCACAGCACACGCCCCTTCCAGGCCACGCCTCCCTGCCAGGCCCGCCTCCCTGCCCAGGCCACGCCCCCTTCACAGGCCACGCCCCTTCCCAGACCACGCCTCCCTGCCCAGGCCACGCCCCTTCACGGCCACGCCTCCCTGTCCAGGCCACGCCCCCTTCCAGGCCACGCCCCCTTCACAGGCCACGCCCCTTCCCAGGCCACGCCTCCTGCCCAGGCCACGCCTCCCTGCCCAGGCCACGCCCCCTTCCCAGGCCACGCCCCCTTCCCAGGCCACGCCTCCCTGCCCAGGCCACGCCTCCCTGCCCAGGCCACGCCTCCCTGCCCAGGCCACGCCCCCTGCACAGGCCACGCCCCTTCAACGCCCCCCTGCCCAGGCACACCCCTTCCCAGTCCACGCCTCCCTTCACAGGCCACGCCTCCCTGCCCAGGCCGCCTCCCTTCACAGGCCACGCCCCTTCACAGGCCACGCCCCCTTCACAGCCACGCCTCCCTGCCCCACCTCTGGGTCCCTCCACCACGTGACCCCCCAGGCACCCCCTGGGGCCCCAGCCCTCGTACGGGCCGACACAGAAGTGACGTCATGTCACTACGCTTATAAATACATAGGTGTTTGATCCTTTAGTTTCGTAATTATTTTATTTCTAACCCTTTTGCTGATTTTTTTCAGTGTTAAATGCAAGGCCGTAATTATAATATATTTTGGGGGGGGCGGGACACATCCCCCCCACCCCCCCCCAATATTCAAATATTCTCAAAATGCCCCCCCCCCGATATATGCTATAAAATATTTTTAAAAATT